CAGGGATGGCAGCGGTGGGCCACACCGGCGCAACATCGGCAGCCCACTCAGGATCGCACGCCCTCGCAAGTGAGCTCAGAACCTCAAGTGTGGACGCCGTTGGAAGACGTCCAGCATCCCGCGGACCAGTGAAAGGGCTGAGATACACAACGTCGATCTCAGTGCCAGGAGAGAGGTCGACAAGATCCTCCTCACCTGACTTAGCCCGCCATGGGTACAAGCCTGTGCGAATGGGCCTATCCGGCACCTCCAGGACCGGAACCATTCCGCACCCGTTATGAGCAAGGAGGGCGAGTGCAAGCCATCTGGGCCAACGAGCAGCGACCGCGAGAAAGACAAGCCAACCGGCTCCTCGTATCCCAGAAGGCGGCGAGCAGGAGGGCCAATCATACTGAGACTCATCTGCGGCTGCAGAGAGAGGAGGGCCGAAGGGGTCCCACACCAGGCTGGCGGCTGGGTCGATGACTAGAACATCTCCGTCTCTAAGAGGGCTGTCAGCGCGAACATATTGTAGAGCAGGCAAAAGTCGCCACCCCGGAGGGGCACGATAAGCGTTGCAGCCCGCAAGCCGCCGGCCCTGAGGCATGAGGTCCGGCGGCAGTAGAAAGAGAACGTGCGCCTCGCCAACGGAAGCTTGGTGCACCAGGTGAAGACTCGACAGGTCACCCGTTAAAACCGTGACCCAGGAACCTGACAACGCCTCCCCGTTAAGGCTCCAAAAGGTGGGACCCTCGGGGTCCCAGTAACCGGCATCCCTAATCCTTATGAAGTGCCCTTGACGGCGATTAGAATACCACAGAACTGCTGACCCGCCAGAGTCAAACCGAAAAGGAAGAGACCAGCTGGCAACTTGACGGGCCCGCTCGAGGGAGGGATACTGCAGCAGAGGAAAGCGGGTAGCCTCCGGCTGAGATCGCTCAGGAACAATACTAAAGGCGTCACCGTTACGCAACCGGAGATGAGTGTGCGGGTTGGCTGCGCGTAACACAGGGGGCGCAACCACTCGCCAATAGCGAGCATGCGTGAACACCCGAGCAGCGATCCGTTGGAGGTCAACCAAGCTTGAATCAACAGACGCCAAAGCAACGGCTGAGCAGCTTTCCATGTGAAAGACAACTGTAGCGAGGCCATATGGGGCAACTGGAGCAAGAGTGAGTTGCGAGACGGGAAGCACAGCACGCACAGGAAAGAACCTGCGCGACCAGATACCGCAATGCCGAGCACCTTCATGCTCCACTTCCCGCCAGGTGCCGGCAAGGTCAATGAACAAGAGCTCGCTCCAGCCTCGCAGGGGGCAAAGGACTCTGGCAGTTTGCGGCCGAGGTCCCGGAAAGTAGCGTGCGAGTGGGCCGTCCGGGGCGTCAGGCCGCCAGCCACTCTGCGGAACGTAGGGCTCGCCGTCATTAAAGTCGACTCGAGGAGGGAAAAACCGTCCCGGCCACTGTGAACCCGGTGAGCGACTACGGCTGGGTCGCCGGCGGGTGCGGATGGTTCTAGCCTCTGAGGAGTCCACGCTTGGGCAGCTCGAAGAACCAGCCCAAGCGTGGTCGGCGAAGCTGTAGAGTAGCCAGGCAAGCTGTACCGGGAAGGAGAGATGGCGCCCGAGCAGCCCGACGGCCGCTGAGTGGACCCACCAGTCGCCATCTCTCACAGTGGCAGTGCGACAAGCGTGGCTTGAAGCAGGACGAACAGTATAGCCCGAGATGTGGAGGTCATGGGAAGCGTCGCGCTCAACTTCAATGCAACGAGTGGAGTCGCAGGACTGGATAATGTTGGCGCGACCTGCCACGTCAGATTGTTCAACGAGCCATGGTGGCGCTCCGAGGTGACCATGGCAAGGCGCCCAACGGTGGGGACCTAGCTCATGTTCATGATTATGCACCGTGGCTGCAGCGGCGATCCATCGGGCTTGATGCCCTAGAAGGGCAACTCGAGTAGGGCGGCCTGGGGACCACAGCAGGACACAGGAGGCCTGAGCAACGAGAAAGTCTGAATGCCACGCGGCCGCAGAATGGGCAGCCCCCCATGTGAGAAAGACAGGTGGGTTGCGCGGCCCGGCAAGTGGGTCAAGCTGAGGTGGGCTGATAGCAATAATATCCCCGGATCTCAGAGCAAGGACAGGGCGGCTGGTGCGGACAGTAGCCGCCAATCCAGGTGAAAGGCTGACGCAGACTCTTTTGCCAAGTCGCATTTGAATGGCTTGCGTAAGATCCCGCGGGGTCAAAAAGGCTGGCAGGATGACGCACAACAGCTGTCCCATGCCTTGCACCAACAAGCAGACCAAACGACGCCCGGGCAAGGGAACAACAACCTGGGTGCTGTCCAACACCAGTCCGGTAGCCGCAAAACCCTGATGCCAAGATGCTAAAGTGTGATGCGCGTCAGCGACGACATCGTCGAAGAGATGGCGCGGGTCGGCTTCAACCCGATTCCAAGGGGCAAAAGGGTTAGCGACAGCGAGGAGCTGCAGCAGCCGGGACGGTGGCCGACGAGGCGGACGCTTGTTGAAGCATGGCCTGAGAAGCAGGGAAACACGCGGTGGCTGCCAGAAGGGCTATGCCGCGTAAGCCGGTAAACAGGAGGGCGGCCGAGACACCAGGAAGAATGGGGCGGCAAATAGAGCCCCGCCACCAAGACTGTGGACCTCCCATGTCAGATGGGGTGCAGCCCAGGGGAATGCCGCTCCAGGGAGGATCCCCATCCACAGAGCAGGAAGACCTACCGACTTTGGGCTTATAGCTAGGTGCAGCGGCAGCGTGAGGCTCGTGAAAGGGAGCAGTGGCATGTTGGCCTCCGAGACCTGCTGAGTAGGAAAGGGTACAACCCGCAAGAAGGGGCAGTCGCATCTGCTGCTGCTGGCTCAGATGCAAGGCGGAAAGGGCCGCACCGAGCCACCAGTTCGGAGAGCCTGGGCCGCGAGGGCACGCACTCCGGGCGAAGGCCCCGAACACCACATCGCCGTTCCTGAGTTCGCAGGCTTGCTCCAAGGCATAGGCAGGCAACGCTGTGCCGAGAGGCAATGCGATCGACAGAACGGCATAGGCGGCCTTCTGGCGTGGCCGCGACAACATTGACTCGAGCAGCCACCCCGTTGACTTCGATAAGCTGCAGGGCGCGGGCACTCGTCCATTGGACAGGTGTCCACATGCCCGGGAATTGGTGCCGAAACTCACCTGAAAAAGAGAACGCTTCAGGGCACCAAGATTCGCCAGCCGGTATAGAGGTGAGCAAGGGCGGTTTTTCAGGTCGCAGCAAATGGACTGAAATCGGGAACATAAGCTGAAATCCGACCGCCCAAGGGGCGTGATGTGCAGCCAGGCCATCCTGCAGATGCCAGGGCTCCACTAGTTCAAGTGGCTCATCGGGGTCATCTGGCGGATCATGGACATAAATGACATCCCCGTTGCGGAACCTAAACGCGGCGGGGGGAACATCGAAAAGCTCGCAAACAGCAAGCCCGTGGGGAAGAGACACACCCCCGACAGCGCTATTGATATGCCTGGCCGTGAAGGACGTCAGCCAATCCACGGTCATCGTGCGGGGTACAATCGTGGCCCGGTGGTGGCCCCGCCAGATGAGCATCAGTGTGACCAGAGCTGGATCACGTCCAATCGGGACGATGGAAAGTTCATTGAATGCCGGCCCCGGCCAAACGGGGAAGAAGTCTTCGGCCCAGCCCGGGTCATCATTTCGGAACTGAGCCCAGACTTGCGAGTGGTGAGTCTTCTGAGATGCCGTGTAGGGAGGGAAAACCCCTAAGAAGGGACTATGCAGGACTACGTAGACTGGATCCTCGGCAGTTATCCCTGAAAATACTCGGTTCACCGAGTCGATCCCCCATAAAAAACCACCAGGTCTGTGCATGCTCTGCACCAGGCTGGGTAGGATGGCAGCAGCCAACCAGGCAGAGACAGGGCGGCTGCGGAGAACCAGAGCGAGTAAGAGAGGGACCCAGATGGATGGGGTAGTAGCTGTAGCCGAGGACTCGTCGGCGGGGCTGCCGGCACGCTCGCCCACGTTCATCGTTCCGCTGGCAGCAGAGGGATCCCCACTAGCTTGGCCTTGGTGGGACCGGCAGGGAACGTGCCGCCTAGCTGAGAGGCAATCACCGTTCCTGAACTGAACCACCTGTGTACCTTCCTGCACCGCTGGCGGCCGAAGGTCATATTCAGCGCCATCCAAGCGAAGGGCCCTAAGGGCAGCGATGTCAACCGTCGCGGGGAGGCAGCAGGGAATTAAGCGGTGCTCAATAACGACCCCTACAGCGACGTTACCTGGCGCCTGAGGACAACCGATGAGATGTACCGCTCTAGCATCGGGCTGGGGCTGGAGGAGCACCAGACCTGCCCAGCCGCGGCCTCGAGCATGGCCAGCGAAGAGGACAAAGGGGTTAATCTCGGGGCCCGCTGAGTACTCGACAATCTCGCATTGCTGACGGGCTGTAAACGGATTGTGAATGCAGAAGGGCGTGCCAAGTGGGATCGCGGCCGCAAGTGTGCGAATCCCGCACCGCAGGCCTTGGAGGTCAGCTTGGACTCTCCGCACCGTATCTTCATCGGCTGCAGGTTCCCTATCTACCGTTGAGGGCCATTGGCTCAAGGCATAATCCTCAAGTGGCCGCGCCGCTCGAAGAAACAGCATGTTAGGTTGGAAGGGAGCATTCACTGGCTCCGGCGGGGGAGGGCCGGCTGGTCGCACAACGGGTGCGGGGGCCCAATCCGCCGCTGACATATTAATGGCCTGCACAGCCGGAGGGGCAGTATCATTGACCTGTTCTTCATCAGAACTAGCCTGCGGTGGCGTGATGATTGACCCCGAGTTGAGTGCAGCGAGGGCAAGGAGACTCCCAAACGCCCCAAGGGCGCGAGGTACCCGAATGCCGATAAGCAGAGAGGCTACCCACGGCATTCTGCACATAGTCTGAGAACCTGACGCATCACTGAGATCCAAAAGATCGGCCGTAGAGGTCTCAGCCGCGCATGCGCTTTGGGAGGAGAGTCTCAGGACAGGTGGAGTATCTCCGGCCGGCTCGGCATCAGGCTCTGCGAGGCCGGCCCAGAGCCGAGCGGTATGGAACGAGAGCTCTTGAGAAAGGTGGTGCACCCTGGAGGCGGTGGCATGATCAAGGCCGGTGCCATTTCCGGAAAGGTCTGTTTGCACACCTTGATCAACCAGAAGAGTTTGCAGAGCCCCAGCAGCCAACCTGTTGCCGTGTCCATCCAGAACAATGGCCGGCTCAAGCGCAGGACCACGGCTGGGGATGTGACGAAAGTAAGGACTTTCGACAACAAAAGGCTCCGGGTTCCAGGGATCATCATCCCCAGGTAGCCGCTCAAGGGCTCCCACCAAAATCTGTATAATAGCACCCGAGGGGAAATCCGGCAGAACGGTACCCGGAGCATAAAACTGGCCAGCATAGGCAAGTGTAGGGCACCGCTCCGGCAATTGGCCACCTTGAAACAAAGTGCGGAGGTGAGCGGAAACAACCTAAAGGGTGAGTGACCGAAGGTAACAACTGCCGCGGCGCCCCAATGGAGGAGCCAGAACCTGGCCGTCGGAAGGGTTGGAGGCACGACAGGCACGAAAAGAACATGCTGAACAGTACCCCCCTGCTGGGAGTGAGTGGAGCGGAACTCCCCTGGATCCGGAATATGGTGGAGACGGCACATCAACTCACGGAGCCATCGGGTCTGATACCCTTGCGGACGCCAGGGCAGGTCGACTGGCTGCGGCACATTTAAGGTCCAGATGCGAATGGTGGACGGTGTGGGAGCAACCTCAACGACCGGTACTAATTGATGCGCCTGCGGTGGCTGCATCGCAGCCGCATGATAAGTTAACAAGAGCGCTGCCAGGCAACCAATAACAGAAGGCCCTGCTTTTGCTGCGACAATCTGCAGCGTGCCCTCTATCACCTGACCAATGAGGCCGGGCAGGGCACGCGAGATCAAAGCTCTAGCCCCGTGCGGGCTCGGGGACATGTGTCTTACTTCGGCTGAAGGCTCAACACTAAGAACCACGCCATCGGGTTCAACTGTGCAGAAGAAGAAGGAGCAGTGCGAGGTGTAGTGCTGGATGACCGGCCGAAGCAACTCGCACCCAATGGAATCCCTCAGGATCCACCAAGCCACAGGAGAAGGAGGCGCGACTACCAGGTCTAGGACCTGGGGATTGGAGTCGTACGCAACATGAAGGCCGTACTCACAGTCTGGCAGGAAAGCACCCAAATAGGCGCTGAGGTGCATGTCCATATGGCGGGCACCGACGCGCATATGGACCGGCCCTTGGCCAGGCAACCACAAATGTATTTGAACCTCAGGCCACGGCGAGGTGCATTCGACATAGGCGCCGAGTTGAGGGGCCGCAACCGCAAAGCCATGAGTTTGACGCCCGAGTTCATGTGTCCAGGAAAGGGTGCAGGTCCTCGTAAAGTCTCGCCGGGGAGCAGAGGATCATCGGCTCCCACGCGAGAGGTAAGGGCAGCTGGCGCAATCGCGAGTTGCACAGCTCCCGCTTGCATAGCAAAGAGGAGAAACCCCAACAAGAGCTTACCCTTACTCAAACAAGCTAAGCCAAGGGCAGCTGACGGATAGGAAGGGGGAGAGGGCGGCGGGCTGGGATAGGGTGCTGTGCAGTGACGGAGCAGTTGCGAAACGCCCTCGGGCGAATCGTATCCAACACTGACGCACTTCCTTGTGACGTCCGCAAGATCCCGAGGGTACGGCCAGACCTGATTGTTATCGGAGAGGAAGGTCTGGGGAAGTTCCCAAAGAGAGAGGGAAAGTGCACGAGTAACATCTTCCCAAGTCGGGACAGGAGTGCACATTCCAACAAGGCGGCCGCCTTCTCTCAGGGCCCAAACGGTGAACCCTGGAATGCAGGCCACAATACATTTAATGTGCCAGGAGTCACACCACAGGCTAACAAGCTCAGACGCAGAATCCGGCACAACGCCTGCCCCACAAGAGGTCGGAGGTGATTGCAACACAGCTGCCTGGGTGCTGGCCGTGATAAAAGGGGCATTGGTCTGAACACCCACATGTGTAAAGGCTCTCACACGCGGCGGAGGCAGCACAGAGGGTTGCCGAATGGCGCGGGGGTGCCCAAAGAATTGCACCGCGTGGCCGCGCGCCCGTGCGAAATCGGCTTGTATGTGAACATACCAGAAGTGGCAATCGTCCCGGGTAGGGATGGTGGTGCATTCCCATGTGAGGACTGAGAGACCAAAGGTGCGAAGGCTGCGGAGGAGCCCAGCTGCGGGCCGCCCACTGCTGAGAAGACTTTCCAAGAAGGCAGAAAAGGAGTCAAATACCCCAGAAAATGCAAGAAAGAGCCCCGTGGCCGTCGGGTCAGAGGCGTCAGTAAGTCTGTAAATGATGCAGTCTTGCCCCGGACTCACTGCAGCAAAGGTGGCATGGGGAAGGACCCCGGAATCGGGAATCTCAATGAAGATGTGCTTCCCAGGCAGAACCTGCCGCAGAAGGAGGGCGGAATCGACAACAGCTGCGCGCGGCACCTCAAAGGAGAGGACGCCTTCGCCTGAGTGGAGCAGAGAGACAACACGCGTCTCGTGCAGCCATCGGGACGCAGAAGGGACACTATGTGGCAAAGTGAAGGCCGAGACATCAAGAGTTTGGGCAGCCGAGTTAACCACAACCTTAATGACATCTCCCTGTCTGAGCCTATGCGCCGAACCCTTGAGGATTTGAATGTCGGTCGAAGCTGCTGCACCTTGCGCGGCCGCCAGGACCTGTTCGGCAGAATAATCAAGGGGAAGCTCAACGCATACTACGTCAAACCCAACATCAAAAAGAACGGTCAACGTAGAGCTCCTGGGTGGCAAGGAGACTAGATGTACCGCATCGTGTGTGGGGCCCGCAGATGCAGCTACGATGTGGGGGCGGCCGAGCTGGATAGCTCGACGATAGAGTTCCGCCTGGCACTAGCTGTGTTGGCGAACTCAATGCGGACAGAGGAGCCCGGAACCCACAACCGGCAAGTGATAGAAAAACTCAATCCTGAGAGCGGGAGCGTCTGCCACAGCGTCCCGTCGCCGAAGTCCCCCACTTGTAGCCAGGAAGCCTGGAGATGAGCGTGAACCCCTGCAGGGGCAGCAACATGACGATCAGGGGCTCTGGAGGCTGCAACCACAAAGGCATGAGGAGAAGAGGGCTCACTGCGGGTCTGAACAGCGGTGCTAGACCACACTAACAGAAGTAGGGGAGTAACACTCCACACGGAAATTGCCCCGCGGCCAAGCGGAAGGTCAAAGGCCAACCAGGATGTGCTGCAGCCACGTAGCGAAAGTCACAGCTGCGGACCCGTCGGAGCCGGGCTCAGCAGCCGGCTCTGGGGGACTCAAGCCTGAAGGAGCAAGAAAGGCCTCAGGCGAAATCCCCGTGCATGCCGGAAGAGTGGCAGCGCGAGCAGGTGAGGGCAACAGGGTATGCTGTAGCGCCGAAATGGTGTCCGACGTATCTGGGCCGTCCCAGCCTCCAACCTGCTCCTCTGACGAAGAGGATGAGTCCTGGCGGAACACATGTGGGAAGAACATGATGACAAGAGGGAAACTCCCCGAAATAACCTGATCAGGGAGAACTGCCAACTCCCTGTGTAGCAGTCCAAAGCCCCCTCTAGCACATTGTTCAACCCATTCCAGGGGGAGGCTGTTACGATCTCTGGTCGAGGCAGCGGCAACGGCTGCGACAGCCGTGACTGGCGGTGTAAGACACACCGTAGTAAGACGCCACCCCACAGGACGGAAATCCAAGATGCACGGCACTTCTTCGCCCACGCAGTGTATTTCCAAAAACTGAACAAGTGGCAGAGAAGGAAGAGGATGCCAGATGCGCATGATTCCTCCAGTGGCACTGGTTGAGGCCCGAGTCGAGACGATGCGCCTGAAAGTGGCTGCGTCCGCAAAAACCGGGGCTTCAACATACACGAGGCCGTTGGGGGTAATGAGAATGGCCTGGTTGTGGGAGTGACCGGGGAAAGCTTCTTGGGTAAGCGGGGCAGAGGGCAGACTGACCTGCATGGTCGAAAACAACGACAATGGCGGGTCCAGTGAGGCACCTATGGGCCCACCCAGCGCTCCAGCCGACGGCCCAAGCTGGAATTGCAAAGTGTCAACATCTTGCAGGAAGAGGGGCTGGGACACAAGAGTCAACCAGCCCCACGGGCACCGGGCAAGAAGAAGATCGACCTCAGTTTGCAATGATTGTGCAGAGATGGCAAGTTGGGCTATGGCTCTGCAGGTGGAGTCTCTTGGGCATAAGAGCATGCAAATGCGACCGCCAAGCTGGCGCATGTCAACTGGCAGCCACACCTGCCGCCAAGTGCATGCAACAGGGGAAAGAAGTACTTGCTCGCTAGGCAGCCCCGGAAGAACACCTCTAATAGCGGAGGCAGTAAAAACCCCTACCGGAAACCCAAGGGTGGCAGCAAGACGCTCATGGCTCAAGGATCGGGGCACCAGGTGGTGTGCCCACGAATACAGCGAGATGCCTGCGACTCCTATCAGTACGTGGTAACAAGAGATTCCCAGTGCGGCCGACAGGGTACACCTCACACATTTCATCGGCGGTGGGTGTAGGAAGGACAGGTCCCGTACTGAGGACGGGGGGGCCTTCATGGAAGCCGTGCGCATGCAGCTGGACCGCGTCAGAGGCATGGAGCCAGCAGGAGGAAGCGAGACCCGCACCGAGCCGAAGAGAGACCCCATCAACAACCGTAAGGTACAGCAGGAAAAGGGCGACCCGGATATCAGGACGTGTTGGCCTGGGCGCTCGTGGTCTGACACAAAATCTGGCTCCACAAACTTTATGCCCTGCAAGCCTTGGAACGACCCCAGACGCTTGGCGTTGCTCAGGAAGACAAGAGTCCCCCGGAAGAGAAGCCCTGGGCCAGGGCGGCAGAAAGTCAAAGCAAGACTCCAGTCACTCCCAAATCCATCAAGAAGTCGTAGATCTCGTCAAACAGAAGCAGCGAACTGAACCAAGTTCTTCCGGATAGCCCGCTACGTGCAGCAACTTCTCGCAGTGATGCTGACAGGTTCGACTCCGTTACCGGTGGCAAATCTTTGAAAGGTTTGACCGATTGGCAGAAGTTGAAGTCTCCGGCACATCGTTCTTTGCAGCGGTCAATGGTACCTCCTAGGTACGCGATGCTCCACAGAGACAAAGGAACACTGGGAGGCGAAACTGCAGCTGGAACGTCTTCCTGCATCGGTGGCACGCTGCAAACAGCCTGTTCATCTTCCTGCACTGTTCGGACAGCAGGCTCGACTTTGGCAGGGTTCGTTGCAATAGCTTGTTTGAGCCGGTGAATATGTCTGAAAGCTTTGCGCACTCGCTTGTCAGCCACTTCAGCGAATACTTCGACAATTCCAGCCAGTCCACTCTTGCGAGTTTGCGTGTAATTGCAGTTTATCACCCATAGCACAATAGGTGCCAGGCTCCCCCACATCCGCAGACGAGCGCCGTTGCAACACACAACACAGCCGGCCAACGCAACCATAAATATGGGAAATGCCGGGTGCGATTTGCGGACTGATTGCAAGTGCACTGCAGCATAGCCTCTCTCCCCTGCAATGGTGCGGCCGCATTCGCTCCACTGCTTCTTAACATACTCGAAAACCTCTGACATTGTCGAAACATACTGCTTCGGAGGGTTGCCGCGGTCGGCCATGATGGTGGTGTCTGTCGACAGAGCGTCTTCCTAAACTGTCTGTCCACTGAACTCTCACCCTATACAAGTGAAAGCTGCTGAGCGAACACTTTTTTTCAGCACCACAGCTACTTACTCGTTTCTCCTTCAGCGGACACTAGCCATGAGAACTCATCCTGTCTCAGTTTGAAGCTCGCTCCGGTTGCAAGGAATATCAGCATGTCCATATCTCGCGCTCTAGAACAAAAGACAGGCAACATCTTGCAGTCCGAGCAGCAACTAAATCAGTAGAAAACGTAAAACAAACCGTAACACCTGAACCCTGAACCATCCGTAGCGCGATTGCGCTTCTGCAGGTGGCGTACCTGCGGCCGCAACGGTCTGAATTCCGTAAATAGCTACTAGAAGCAAAGGGTAAGTTCCAGTAGCTTACATCTACCTGATCGATCAGGCCCTCCTGGATCAAATATTATATCTGTGCCACAACACCTAGATATATGACATCAACAGTGTTCGCGAAAAACATCCGGAACATATCGTACATACACTTTGGCGTGAACAGTGTCCCCCAAAACCTCGGAGCAAATCGCACACAGGCATTGTCATGAAAGTGGGCCCCACAAAACCTCCGGAACAAATCGTACATACACTTTGGCGTGAACAGTGTCCCCCAAAACCTCGGAGCAATCGTACACAGGCATTGTCATGAAAGTGGGCCCCACAAAACCTCCGGAACAAATCGTACATACACTTTGGCGTGAACAGTGTCCCCCAAAACCTCGGAGCAAATCGTACACAGGCATCGTCATGAAAGTGGGCCCCACAAAACCTCCGGAAAAAATCGTACATACACTTTGGCGTGAACGGTGTCCTCCAAAACCTCGGAGCAAATCGTGCACAGGCATTGTCATGAAAGTGGCCCCCAAAACCTCCGGCATATATATATATATATATATTATCATATATACCTTATAACTATATTTACATATATTATAGAATTAATTAATACATATGTATGTGTATATATATATACAGGAAATTATAGTATATTGTATAATATATATATATATGTATATATATGTATATATACATATATATGTATATGTTATTATATGTATATGTTATATTATATATATATATGTATTATATATATATACATACACATATATATATATATACATATATGTGTATATGTGTATATATATATATATATATATATATTATTCATATTATCAATTATATATTATAAATTATATATTATATATTATATAGTATATATTATATATTATATATTATATATTACATATTATATATTATATATTATATATTATATATTATATACCATATATTATATATTATATATTATATATTATATATTATAAAATATTATATATATATATATTATATACCATATATTTATATATTATATTTATATATTATATATTATAATATTATATATATATATATATATCATTATATTATATTATATTATATTATATTATATTATTTTTTTATTATATTATATGATATTATATTGTTTAATATTATTATCATACTATATATCATCTTATATATTATAATATATATATTAATATATTAATATATTCATATATTAATATATTAATATATTAATACATATATATATATATATTCTATACTATATTATATTATATTTCATTATATATTATACTAAATATAACATATTATGTTATATTATTGAAATTATACAAATTTTTATTGTAGTGTATATTATTTATATGTTTATATAATATGTGATATTTTATCTATAACCTATAAATACATATTACTTTACATATATATATATATGTAATATATAATATAATAAATATATATTATACATATATATATATTATTATATTTTATATGTATATTTATATACACATATATTAAACGATGTTTATATCTATATACCTTTCATCATGGCACGGTTTCGACCTTCTGCACCTTTCAGATATTTCAGATGTTTTGGTTTATCATCAAATACTGTTGGATTGGAAATGTGACGGCATCGGTTGAAACATCTGGAAAATCTGAAATGTTTGAAACATCTGATTTATCGGAAAGGTCTGGAAAGTATTGACTGCCAATTCTGCTTGTCACGGTCCTACATATCCGATATCAGAAACCTCAGAACGAGCAATTGGAACGGTTCAGATTCTTGTGATATTTCAGATATTTCAGATATTTCAGATGTTTGAAATGTTTCCGGTTTAACATCCAATGCTTTCGGTCTGACATATTGAAATGTCTGGAAAATCTGAAATGTTTGAAATGTCTGAAGTATCTGATATGCCTGCAGGGTATTGGCTGCCAGTGCTGCTTGGCGCATTACAACATGTTCGATATCAGAAACCTCGGAACTGACTAATTGGAACGGTTTGGATTCTTGTTATATTACAGATAGTTCAGATGTTTCAGACATTTCAGATATTTCAGATGTCTGAAATGTTGCCGGGTTGCTACGAAATACTTTTGGTTTGACGCACTGTCGGTATTGATTGAAACGTCTGGAAAATCTGAAATGTTGCAATTATCTGAAGTATCTAATATGCCTGCAAGGTATTGGCTGCCAGTGTTGTTTGTCGCGTTGCAACACGTTCGATATCAGAAACCTCAGAACTGACTAATTGGAACGGTTTAGATTATTGAGATATTTGACAGATGTCAGATACTTCAGATGTCCAAAGTGCAGTCTGACCTGTCTGAAAAATCTGGAATATTTGGAATATCCTGAATCAGCTGAAGTGCGTATTTAGATCACCTGAGTTTCATAAATACAGACACGATAATAACTGATGAATTTGATCATGTATTGTTTCTAAAGCGAGAATAGCTCATGAGGAAGTGTATTGCATACTTGAAGTTTTACAAACATTCAAAACAAACTCCAGATGTTTCAGATATTCCAGATCTTTCAGATGTTTCAGATATTCCAAATCTTTTGGAAGTTGTATACGTCTTATGCTCTGAGACTTAGTAGGAAGTGTCATTCTGTTATTAGACATATCTATATATATATATATATATATATATATGCGCATAATATATGTATACATGCATGTATATACATATGTGATTTTATGAAAATTACCATTAAATCTACTGTTACTACACATAGTCATGTTTTAATATACAGTATGAACATATTTATATGTGTATATGCGTTATTAATATAATAGAGTTGGAACAACATATCGGTGAATCAACAAGACAAGACCTGACCTGGATCACAGGAGGGCCTGTTACCTAGTAGTAGTAGTAGTACTAGTAGCAGCAGTAGTCGTAGTAGCAGCAGCAGTAGCAGCAGTAGTCGTAGTAGCAGCAGCAGTAGCAGCAGCAGTAGTAGCAGTGGCAGTGACAGTGGCGGTGGCAGTATCAGCAGCGGGAGCAGTGGCAGTGGCAGTGGCAGCAGAAATAGCAGTAGGAGTTCAGTCGTAGTCGTAGTCGTGGTCGTGGTCCAACTGGTCGTAGTCGTAGTCGCAGTAGTAGTAGTAGTAGTAGTAGTAGTAGTAGTAGTAGTAGTAGTAGTAGTAGTCGTCGGGTAGTAGCCGTGGTAGTACTCGTTGGACGAAGCGGGAGCCGGAGCGGGAGCGCAGGAGCAGGTAGCGCCAGCAGTAGCAGCAGCGGCAGCGGCCGCAGCAGTAGGAGCAGGAGTAGGGGCAAGAGTAGGTTTAAGTTGAAGCGTAAGTTATCAAGAAGGAATTGTCAAGTGTAAGTACAAAACCGGGCGTATGTGCCGGCATGCATGACAGTACATGGGGGAAGTATTCAATCACACGTGACAGGCAAGTGTGATCAGTAGTGTCATCAAAGAATCCTCAGCACAGAGGCAGTGGCTTTAATGTGCTGTCTCTGGAGCAGGAATGATCACACAGTACATGGTCACTGGCCGGGCTGTGGGCTTCGCAGATGATGCGCAGCCCTTTCAGTTCATCGAAGGGTCCTGGCCTCATCGCAAATTCAGTCGATCAAGTGAGCAGGTCCTAGCACAGAAACATGGAAGTGTAGGACGTGTCGGTTTACGGCTGCAGCTTGTCGTGTCTGCACAGGGTGGAGCAGGTGGTCACCGCCAACGACCTGGCCTTGACTGGCCGGATGCTCTTGGCATGCCATGTCGGATGTCGGAGAGCGAGCATGTCCTGCTTTCCCTGCCGATGTAAGCACTCGTCTTGGTGCAATCCAGCAGTTTTTGTGCGGGAGATGACTGTGCTGGATACTGAGTTGCCGGCTCCGTGATGGCCCTCGACGGTATCCGCCGCATCTCTATGCCGGACAGCTCACGTTGCTGTCGGGGCAAACGTGCCTGGGCTGCGCGGTCGTCTCTTTCGTGTGTCCGCAGGACGAATCGATTGCTGGACGGGTGGCATCCTGAGTGCTCTCCATGTGTGACCCAGCCTCTGCTTGAGCTGGGCTCTGGGCTTTCCAGGCTCTGAACCTGACAAAGCTGAGCGTCGGTGTCCAGGCAAGTCTCCTTCCCGGCAGGGTTCCGAAGATCTCCGAGCGGCGCCTGCTTGGTCTTCTTGACTTCCTGTGAAGGAGTGCTTGGTTCAAGGATCGCATTGTTCTTTTCAGCTCTGCTATGGCCATCAGGGCCCTTTTAGTCCGGCCAAAGGCACGTAGCTCAAACTCCGTCTTACGGTGCTTTGTCGATGATTCTGTCACTTCTACCGCAGACTGAACGCTCCAACAGATTGACACTGCGAGATGAAGTAAAGCGTGCATGGAGCGCCGCGGCAAGCCGCCTACCCTGGACGACGATGGTAACTCGCTTAGAAACCCTTGCTTTCTTGGATTCCGCTTTGCTCCTTCACCTGCGATGTTTCTGTCGAAGGCCTGCGGAATTCCCGGCGCAGTGAGAGAGACGACGACGATGACCTCCAGCGCTCACAGACGGTGCCCTGACCATGTCTGAGCTAGCGACAGCTTAGACTTGGACTGGTACGACCTGGCGATAGCTGCCAGGTCCTGCTAGGTCAGGCAGCGTGGTGCTATGCTGTCTTGCTCAGCCAGCATCTCAGGAGGATCGCAAGGGTTCAAGAACGTCGGCGTCCTCTTCCGCAGCAGCAGCAGCAGCCCGACCGAGGCAAGGTGGAGCAGAAGGGAGCATGGTAGCATGGTTGGGACGCGTGCCCACCGGATTTTTGCCGCCTTGGCAGGGTTTCCTCCGTCTCCGCGCCGGTAAAGCCTCCGGTGGCCCCTTCTCTCGGAGCGCCTGCTGTCCTGGCGGCGCCAGCTTCCCCGGCTGCCTCGCCGACGGGCTCACCAGCTGCGAGCCCTGCGAGCCTGGCCGGCGGTGCTCAGCGAAAACTCCTAGACTCCTGGCAGCTGCTGTCGAAGATCCTAGTGTAGGAGCCCGATCAAGAAACCCTGGCACTCAACCCCAAAATATTAGGACTCACACAAGGAACCCTAACAAACACCCAAAGTCTCTTAATCAGGTTCGTATATTATTCAGGAGCCAGTTGCAATGGTTGTTTGGATCTTGGGCTCTCCACTCACGCTGTTTCCTTCCCTTCTTTACGCAAGTTGGGACTTTGCTTCCAGTGGTAGTTTCTGCCGAGGACAGAGCGTTTCTGTCGACCACGATGGCCTGGGGAGCCTTGCTTGCACTGAATGGCCGTGCTATGTCCGTAACTAGCAAGACAGACTTCGCTCGCCTGGTCCGGTCCAAATGCCCACTGTAACATATGGTCGTCGGTGCAGTGGTCAAGTTGGTCAAGCTGTTCCATTTTGTATGTAGTTCTTGCACATCTGGGCCCGTCGCCTCGACTCGCCCTTGCCTCGGTCAGGAAACTCGAAGTCCCAGCAGGGCAACAAGTGGAGCTCCACCGCGGGATTTAAGGATTCCCTCACCGGGCAGGAGGTTTCCCGTGCCACGCGGAAGCAGCTTGAGCCACCTGCTTCCCCAGTCCACTGGTTGTGCAGCTTACTGGTTGGCAGTGCCGAAGCGGTGCAATGATTGTTCCGAGGCACAGGCCATGGCAGAAATTGCCAAGCTGCAGAAGGAGCTGCTTGGCCGCAACAAGATGCGCTGATAGAGCTTCCTCACAATGTTGATGGTATGGGAGCCGCCTGCACCGTGCGTGGGGGTAACACTGTACACAGCGCAGCTCTTGCAGAAGTCGGCTGATCGAAAGAGAGAGGGAATCAGAGAGAGGGGAGTCAAGCCGTTCGGAAGGAACAGCTTTGAACGAGATCTTGGAGCATACTGTACCGTTTGTAAGTCAGGTAATGCTGAGACAAGATAGCGAGGAGAAGCTGAGAGAGAAGAGCAAGTTATTTGGATGCGACTTGAGCTTGGAGCTGTTTGCTCCCTTCTCTCAACTTCGCAAGTTACGCCAGCTCTCCAGGTCACCTTTTTAGGGTTTTGTAGAAGGCTCTACAGGGCTGCGAAGGGGTCCGTTTGCTCGTGTCTCCCTCGGTACCCTCCTCGTTCATTTCTTCCCCCCTCGATCGCTTGACCACCATTACCTAAGAGGCCTGTCGAACGGCTGTTCCTCGCGCACAAACTGTTGTATTCTCTTCCGATCGGCTTGCTCCTGTCGCTCAACCTCTCGAGGCAAATTTCGAAAAGATTTACTCGAACCCCCCCCTGAATTTCTTCCGTCCCGATCGATATGCCCTCACTCTCTCGAGGCCCCTTAAACAACCCTAAACCCTAAACCCCAGACTGAGGTCGGCCATGCGTATCCTGAACGTCCTGGAAGGTAGCATCCCGAGCTTAGAAGGAGACAACTTCGTGCGCATGGCGCTTCTCGAGAAGCGACCGTGGTCGAACAGCAGATTTTTCAGAGTTACTACTTGGACACGCTTTAGGGTTTAGGGTTTTCTGGTTTCAGGTTTAATCTGTGCATCGTTTAGGATTTAGGCTTTGGGGCCTCCTGGTTTGTTAACATGTGTTGCTGTGCAAGTGGTAAGGCTGGATATGGAACTGGACAAGTCCAAACAGATGCTCCAGCAGCGCTGCAGGGAGCTGTTGGGCAGTGATCTGGCTGAGCTTCGGATCCAGAAGACAGAAAGAAAGGCGGCTGTTAATGGGACTATGAATAGCAGAAGGCTCAACAGTCCAAGTCTTGTCGATAAGTTGAGAGGCCTTGCTGGACAAGATCGACCGCATCAACCGGCAAAACACCCAGGAAATCTCTGCACTGCGAAGTCAGGCACCAGGGTTTGTCGAGCGCAGTTCCCCGACAAGTCCAAAACATGCCAATGGCCGTCGGATTTCCGCTAAGACGCTTTTGTAGACGTGCCGTGGCAGGGCTTCCCAACCACCACCCTGACTTGAGAGCCGTACATGCGCAATCATGCGTGGGTGCTTTGTACTCGTGCTCAAAAGCTTGGGTGCAGGTGTGGGACATTCCGGAGAGCAGCAAATCGCTCGTTCAGCGCGTCCTTCTGGAAGCACAAGCTTCTCCCAGTGTCTTGGAGATGTTGGTGTGCAGGGGCCTGTTGCTCAGGGTAGTTTCAACGGTGTGTCAAGAACGCAGAAGGATTGCAGGCTTCATGTCCTCACGAGAAAATTTGTTTTTGATATTTCATTTCTCAGCATGGTACCAGTATCTTGCAGGGCGCATGTTTGCAAGAAGGTACAGGTGAGTTGGGACGCGAGGGCCAAGCATGCATGCTCGCCACCATGGAGCAGAAACTGGCCATGGCCTTGGTTTCAGTGACTGCATCAGAATGGCTGCGTAGCCTAGCAACCAGTTTGGATGTTGGATTGCCCACCACCAGTGAAGGCGCGTACTTCATGTTTCTATTTTTCTGTCAGGGTTGAAGATCTGGGTAGATTTATCTTTGCTTCTGCTTTCTGCACAGCTCGAGGCATGGAAGGCTTCAGAACTAAGTGGAACAGGCTGACAGCAAGCATTGAGTCTCAGTCTTCACCGAACATAGGAAAAGCTCCTGCAGCCGGCAAGTGCTCCCAAGCTCCCCCAGTTTGGAAGCCAAGTCCCTTCCTTTCAGGTCCAGGTCTTGTCTCCCAACGGCTCCAAAGATGATGGCCAGGTGGGGGCAGCCTCAAGTGTAAAAGGGTGAGAGTTCTGCCACCCTCAAGCTCAAAAGCACGACACCCGAAGCCGAAAGTGGGCTTGCAGACACCATCCATAAATCCTGAAGCCCTGGCCGCGTTCAGGTCCCCAAACAGCCATCCAGGCCGGGGGAGGGCTTGAGTAGTTGTCACTTCTGCTGAAGCATTGTGACTAAGCCTAAGCTTATCGTTATTCTATTGCGGTTTCCTTGCTCTCGCGGGTACGGTTGGCATCGCTGTTCTGACTATGTTGAGCTGAGACCCTCATGTGGACTCTGGACAGGCTGGAGAACTCCTTCGTCCAGGAACGCGTGGCCACGCTCAAGCAGCAAATGGCCGCGCTGACGGAGCAGGTTGCAACCACGAAGCGGCAAATCAGCGCTCTTGTTGCGGCGAAGGAGAGAGGCACTCGCAAGCAGAGACGCGCGTCGTGGCTTCCGAGCCTTCCGAAGCAGTGCTTGCCGCTTGCCTCGGCACTTCAGGAGGAGCTGACGGAGGAGCTCCAGAGCAGACGAGGCTCGGTTTGAGACCCCTGAGGTGAAGAAAAAGAGAGAGACGAAGGTGGGAAAAGGAGGGACCCTTAATGGGGACCCCTACCCTATAATGGGCTATATAATGGGTATATAATAGTGACTGATCCTGACGGTTCGTGACACCTTGGGGCGGCTGAGGCGAGCGGTCCTCTGGCCCGAGCTCCTCCGCTTCCTTGGCCTCCGTCTCCAACCGGTCCAGGAGCCCCTTACATGCGCCGTGGCCTCGGGAGAGGGACGCCTCTTGTTGGTCCTATCCTATAGAGGCACCTTTTTTCTGCCTCCACAAGAATCTTAAGAAAAGCTCCTGGCATTTCTTTGAGGCCCTTGGCTCTACCCAAAGGGCGGCCCAATCCCAAGGATCCCCGAAGGCAAGGAAGGGGCCGCTGCGTGACTAAGCGACAGACTTAGACTCGTGTCTTGATTCTCACAGGCGGATGGACACTAGCTCCTCTGCCTCGAATGACAGCCGGCCCGGTGCCCGGAGACAAAGGAGCAACAGTGAAAGGAAGAGCGGAATTTGGAAGTGACTGCCGCGTCTGTAAGGCCTTGAGGATGACTGCGCGGCACGTTTTCGTTTCAGATCCAGAGCTTGAGCTCGGTTTGCCATTTCTCTCCGTTTTCTTACTTGTACAGCATGCCTTGGAGGCTGAAGAGTGAATACATTTTGATCAGGGCTTGTTGGGGTTTCGCGCTATCGTGCGAAGCCGCTGCTCATGTCGTGGACATCGCCAAAGGCGCTGCCCAAATGACAAGCGCTCAGCCCGCAAGGGATTTTGAAAACAGTTGAACCGTCACGTTTTTGTTATGGACTCTGACGCAGTTGTGGTCTTCGTCGAAGAGCTCTTAGTATCTCTTAGTGTGAGCGCATCATGTCGCTGTGATAAAACATACTGGTACTGGTTTTGGTGTTGGTGGCGGTGGTGGTGGTGATTGCGGCGGCGGGGCGGTGGTCTGATAGAGTAGCGGTAGTGCTAATTAGTAGTGGTAGCAGTGGCTTTAGCAGCAGCGGGAGTTGTGGTGGTGGTAGTAGTAGCAGTAGCCGTGTTGGTAGTTGTCAGCGTGGTAGTAGGAGGAAGAGGAGTAGTTGTAGTAGTGGTGGTAGTGGCAGTAGTGGTAGTGGAAGAAGTGGTAGCAGTCGCAGCAGTAGTAGCTGCCTCTGCTACTGCTACTGCTACTACCACTACTACTAACTACTACTACGACTACTACTGCTACTGCTACTGCTACTGCTACTGCTACTGCTACTGCTACTGCTACTGCTACTGCTACTGCTACTGCTACTGCTACTGCTACTGCTACTATTATTATACTACTAACTAACTGCTAGGTAGCTATACTACTGTACTAAGTACTACAAATTACGACTAGTGACCAGTGCAATGCTGCTGTTCGTCCTCCTGCTAGTGGTGGCAGTGTTGGGTGTTAGTTTGGGGCGACACCGATTTCAGTCGAGATGAGGGCTTTTTGCAGTAAAGTTTGCTGCTAGTGTGGGAGTCTGATCTGTCTGCAGAACTTTGCGCCTTTCTTCGCGTGAAGGCTCCGGAAGTGCCCTTGCCCGAAGGAGTGGTGGAGGGCCAGGCCTGTCTCTCTGCAGTCTGGCGATGGCCTATTCACGAAACATGTTTGGGAGGTGGGCCAGCGCCTTGCCGTCAGCCCAGATCAGATCCAGCAGTTCGAGGCCTGTGCCAGCATCCTCTACGAGTAGGCTTTCTGTTGTCTGCACCTGCATGCTCCCTCGCGTCCGCAATGCGGCACAGGAAGATGGAGTCATCATGATCAAGGGCGCTATGAAGGCACCGGTTTGCTAAAGTATCTTCCATGCCCTGCCTGTTGAGCTGCTGTGAATGATCAGGACTGGGTCCCTTTCCTCCGTGGCATCACCGAGGATCAGATTGAGAAGCCGCACCTGTGGCCGGGAGCTCGGTCGAGGAGAGAAACCTGTTGTTGCATCATGGAGTCTTCCTGAGGTCACTGGTGGGGCGAATGAGCGGAATGTATGACTACATCCAGTCCAAACCTCAAGATTTGCGCATGAACTTTCTGCCAGCGAAGCTCACCTTACGGCAGCCTGGGGCACCCTGTCGTGCTCAAGGCGCAACATGTGGATGACCAACAACGGCTTCCGTGATTTCCTGGCGGGGCCGTTTCTCTGAGCGGGTCTGGCCACCTGTTGCAGCAGTCTCTACGCATCGTTTTGGCTCTGTTTCTCTCTTTGTTTCTCTCTCCGTGTCTCTGTCTCTGTCTCTGTCTCTGTCCTGTCTCTCTCTCTCTCTCTGTCGCTGTCCCTCTCTCTCTCTCTCTGTCTCTCGCTCTCTCTCTGTCTGTCTGTCTGTCTGTCTGTCTGTCTGTCTGTCTGTCTGTCTGTCTGTCTGTCTGTCTGTGTGTCTCTCTCTTTCTCTGTCTGTCGCTGTCTCTGCCGCTCGGTCGAAGCCGCCCTCGAACCCGCACGCTCGCGATCATGCTGCAGAAGGAGTTTGATCAGAACTGCTGTTCGAGAACAGTGACAAACGAATAAACACAAAGATCCCTTGATGAATCGATCAAATGCAATTATGTATGTATGCCTGCCTCCCAATCCTTGATGCCTGCCTGCGAGCATGCATGCAATGTATGTATGTATGTCTGTACGTAGGTAGGTAGGTATGTATGTATGTTTGCATATTCGCTGCTGCTGCTACTGGTGCTACTGGTGCTACTGGTGCTACTGGTGCTACTGCTGCTACTGCCACTGCCACTGCTGCTGCTGCTGCTGCTGCTGCTGCTGCTGCTGCTGCTAGTGTTACTGAGTTTACTGCTACTGCCACTGCTACCGCTGCTGCCCGCAGCTACTGCTAGCACTCCCGCTCCCATTTCCACTTCTACTCAGTGACTTCTACACCTCCTCCAACTCTCGCTCCTACAGCTACTCCGCCTGGCACCACCAGCACCGCTAGTAGTCTTTCGACATCACCCCTATTCAGTTTCACATATTTACCAGCAGCTGCATGTCATTGTACTCCCTGGACTACACTCGTCTGTTTACTAGCTAGAGCTAGCATTTCAATTCACTTGAGTGACTTCTGTGTCGATCTTCTGTGTATTCTGTTGCCATATAAAAGGTATCAAAAGATAGGCCCTGAGTCTCGCTTTCGCCTGTCGGCTTTGACAGTACTACTCGCCACTGGGCCACATCGTCTCCCAGCGGCAGCCTCGGCTTCTGCCGGCTTTCTCGTGAACGGATCCTGAAGAGACATGGAGCGACATATTGTGTAGCGTGAGCATATGATTTTAGTCCAGAGTTTCCGGAGTTGGGAACTAGGGAGGAGACAGAGACATAGCAGACACGACATGGCAGGACGAGTCAAACATGTGCCAACGGCCTCGCAGTTCTGTTGCTCATGCTGGTTCAGCAGGAGAAACTCGGAACCCCTTTCCACAGGCTTGATACCCAGTGAAAAGTAAGTCTCCTCGTTGTGACAGCTTCTCTGAAGCACTGTCTCAAAGTACTCCGCCGTGATGACGCGCCATGATTCGACGGACATTGCTGGTGCTGCTTCTGACGACCGCCCCACTGATTCTCTATGCCCTCTTCGCGCAGGCACGCAACATACAGCCTTCAGCAGATTGGCGGTTCGGTTGTCAAAAGTTGTGCTTGCCATGTTTCGGACGATAGCGAGAAAGCTTGCATGCAGACTCATCGCTTCAACGCCAGCATCGCCACAAGCATCCGCAGCAAGCTGCTGGAGGCCTGAAAGTGCAGGATGTTTCGCATACATGGAAGATAACGATCTTCGAGGTCAGTAATTAGTTCCATTTGCTCCGACGTTCAAGCAAGCACAAGAAGCACTGCGAGGTGTCTTTGAATCTCATCTGATTCCCACCCAGCACTTCTAACATGCTGGGATTGTCCAGGCAAGCCTTTCGCCTACAAGTGCACCAGAAGAACAGAGCGAATCGAAGGGTACATCTGTGCAGGCTGGCGTCCTTTTGAGCTCGCTCTAGATCTCAAGTATCCTTATCAGCGCTACAAGCATCCGCAAGTGTTGTCCTTCTCGTACATACTTGAAGGCCGACGACGCGGCAGTGAACATGATGGCTTCTGTGGGACAGTCGTTTCGTGCTCCATCCCGTGTGCGTAGTTGTGCAGATCCAAGCGCCGCTGCAGCCCTGCCGCGTTCTTGGAAATTCGAGGAGATGAAGGAAGAAATCGAAGTACAGAGATAACTACAACCGAGCAGTCGACGACCAAGAGTGTGACACGCATTGCCGCGAACTACGTCAGCAGGACTTCAGCCTCAACGCGAAGACACGAGCAGTAAAATGCATCGCATCACATATCCAAGTAAGCGGCACTGTTTACTTGAAGCAAAGTATCTTTTGCCAGATCGGAAGTTTCCTGCAGCTGAGATTTACCAGGCATTCTTCTCGTGTCTTTACCCTGGAGAGGAGTTCTGCTGATTTTTGCCGCTGTGCACAGCAAGGCGACGAGAATCCGCCAGCCTCCGCAAAGGCTAGCATGCCGTTCGTCATGCAAAGCCAGAGTAGAGAGAGAGGACGTTCACCGCTCCATTCGTCTATTCGTCCACCCGTGCCGATTTCGAACAGGAAGAGTTCTCCAAGCTGCTGGCAGATGCTCGGACTGAAACCATCTGACTGGGATATGGTGAAGTGCATCAGCGCACCGGAGCGTTCTACTGCCAGCGGTGTTTGTCCGGGTACCAGGAGATGCGACAAAATCTGCGTCTTTTTGTATATCCCTTGACCACTAAATGTGGCAAGAGCCAGCAGCCGTCTCAGCATCTCTTGCATCCTGCACCCCATGTCCTCACCTTGACAAGCCGCAGACCAAGTCTGTTTGAAGATGAGGTCAGGCAATCGTGGATACTGGGTGGAAGGAATTTTCTATTCGCGAGCGCTCGCTTCACCCTTGCGAGTCGAGAACCCCGATGCCGCGACCATCTTCTACATCCCAACCTTCACGTCGTGCTGGCGATCGCAGGCTTTCCGAGGACGTGTCACGGCTCGCACTGACTCGGCTGCCGCTGCCGCTTTGAGGTGCCTGGGCGCCGGGAGGGCGGAGAGCGGGCCGCCAGAGAGCTGCAGAGGACCCTTCGGAAGGCACGGCCGTGCTGCCCTGGCAAGAGATTGGTGGATTCGGGGAGGTCCTGTGCGTGTCTGTGTGTGTGGAAGGTTGCATCCCAATGGCCGCACTTCCACAGGCCTGGCCACTGCTGACGATACTTGTTCCGAGCCTTCCCCCAAGCAAATTTCGGGGATAGACCTGCAATCTGCAGTCCGTACGTATGCATGCAGGTATATGGGGCGGAGGCATCTTTGGGTTTCTGCACATGCCTCTTGCCCGAAGCATTGTTTTGATCTGACAAAAGTGCGCAGCCGCTCCGAATGCTTTGAAACCCTGCACTTCGACTTCACCCATCCCGAAACTCTCAAACCCGCCAAAACCCTCCACACCGGAGCCCCGCATCCAAGGACATGGGCAAGGTCGAGCCGAGCTGGTGCCCTGAGCACCAAATAACTTCGAACACGTCGGATCGCTGCTGTGATCACTGG